GGACATGAGAAGCACAATAACCTTTCTGTTTTGATGGTACTTTTTGAATAAACTTTTTGAAAGACAATTTTAAACATACACAAAGTAGAGAAAATGATATAACGAACTTCTAAGACGCTGGCACAACCGACACTTACATTATCTAGCCTCCCCACCCCTCCCCCCTATAATCCTCGCGGTGCCCGTCTTTTGAAGTACTTTTAAAATGTTAAAATGTGTTTTGTTTTCATTCACTGTTGCTGTTTTGAATCTGTTTAAGCATTTAAAAATGGGACCTGAATCTATTCCTCTCACATCTCTCCAATAAAGAAGCAAAGAGCAACTGACAGATGCGCTAAAAAAAAAACCAAAAAAAAACATTCAACAAAATGGGCGGGTGAGAACTCTAGGAGTCTAGTTTATTAGAGCCGCGTTACTTAGGAATACAGTTGGGGCCTGCCGAATAATAATTGTCAAAAGTTGTGACTGTGGACTTCTTTGTCACCTGCTTCAGTCGTGTGCGTTGTTTTGGGCTTGCGTTCGAGCCGGATGGGAAGTATTGCTCAGCAGCAAGAAGAGCAGATTGATACTCCTCAAACTCTTTCCGGTCGCCTTGCAGAAAACTAGTTGTTGTTGTTGTTGTTAAGTGCCGTCGAGTCGGTTCCGACCCATAGCGACCCTGTAGAGGGTTTCCGAGGGTGTAAATCTTTACGGGAGTAGAAAGCCTCATCTTTCTCCCGCGGAAAAATAGTGGAGTAAACTAAACATGATTCCACTGAGCGGCTGGCTGCATATTAGAGAGAAAAGCTGGAGGCGCTTTAAGGGCGCCCCCTGGTGGGTGCATTCTCGGTCTACTAGAAGGGGCGGAGGCGAATCCCTATAGGATTGTCTCCAGGATTGTTTCCGGGATCGCAAAAGGAAAACAGTAGTTTGGGATCTTAAGGGAAACCTGTGAAGACAGAACTGGGGAGAGGACTGAATAAGCTGGTCGCCATATGTGCATCTGACAACATTTGTATTTGCAACATAAATACAAATATGAATAATGTGTCAATACAAACTTAAAACAGACGACAGGTAAATTTTCATAATGAAATAAATTTCACACAATATTTTAGACATCTTATTCACAAAACCAAGTTTAAAATTTAAACTAGAAGTTCAAAACAAATTTTCAAAAATAAATGCTTCATAAATTTGTGAAGTAAAATTAAACTACTTTTCCAAAACTTAAATAAAATATCCAAAACTCTAAATTAAAATTTGAAAACTCTAAATTAATCAAAAATTTTAAATGTAAACTTTGGTAACCTTTAAAAGATGAGTAACCCTATAAGAGTAGAATGACCCCCCCACTGGGTTTCCTATGCAAAAACATTATGCAAATGCATGTGTGGATCATAATAAATTATGGATAACGTTTAAGCTCATGTGGAATCTGTACATAAACCAAGAGACAGTAGTTTGAATAAAATAAGGGAATACTGATTGCTTTATCAGTAAAGGTGTGCATCAGGGTTTACCTTTTCACCATACATATTCAATCTATATGAAGAAGAAGCTGGGCTATATGAAGAACGTTGGTGTCAGAATTGGAGGAAGACTTATTAACCTCCTGCCATATGGAGACAGAAGGAGCCCACCACCACCATATGGAGATGCAGTCCTGGTGTGGTGCTGTGCATTAATGGGATGGACTGCAAAGTCGGTATGGTTCAAGTTCACCAGTCGCTCCTCAAAACCCCTATACAAGGTGGCACTTAACAACAACAACAGCATATGGAGATGACACAACCTTGCTTGCTGATAGTGAAGAGAACTTGAAGTATTTACTGATGAAGATCAAAGATACAAAAGAGGAATGCTAGTTTTAGAATATTTTTAATAACTACTTATGATTTACCTATTTGCTTTGTTTAAGTAGTCAGTGGGTGAATTGTGGGATGTATATGGCCCTGCAATGGAGAAGTGAAAACATCTGGCCTTTACAAACAAACCTTCCTGATCACAGTATGCCACTTCATTGACTCAGACTACATTGAAAACTGCCCACAGGAAGGTACAGTTAAGACCTTTCAGAGATGTTAAGTGAACCTGCTTTTCTTTGGTCCACCTGTCAGACAGGTTAGGCTGTGGCTAGTGTTTTGTTTGTATTCTGAAAGTCAGGAGATGGCTATCAGAGAGGGGAAGTAAGAGGGTCACAGACATAACTGAAATACAAAGTGTGTGGTTATGTGCCTAGTGGCTGGTGGCTGTGTGCCATGGAGTCGGTTCCCCCGACTCATAGCGACCCTGTACAGGGTTTCCAAGGCTGTAAATCTTTACAGGAGCAGAACACCTCCTCTTTCTCCCACGGAGCAGTTGGTAGTTTCGAACTGCTGACCTTGAGGTTCGCAGACCAATTCATAACCACTAGAGAGGGATGGAAGTCCTTGAGAGAGGAGGTGAAGGGTGGAGGGAGGCAGAGAAGTGCCAGCAGTGGACCAGGCCAGACAGACTGTTCCAGCACTGGCAGAATGTGATAAGGAGTGTTCTGTGTAGCCTGTGCCCAAGTCCTTGTATTCTGCAGGATTGGCATAGCGCACAGGAGATGAGCAGAAAGGGGAAAGGATGAGTGCTGGCGATGGAGCTGGTGCTTGTGGCTGCTGAAGAAGTGGCTCAGCACATTTGAGAGTCCGCAGGCCAGAAGGACCAAAGGACCAGAAAGGGCTGCTCATTTGGGGGACAAGGGGCTCAAGCTCAACATGGTGCGTACTAGGTGAGTGGAACCCTCAGGCCACTACAGTGAAGCAAAGAAAGACTGTGTATGCCACTTGTCATCAGTCTGCTATATGGGTCAGGTTTAGGTGCTTCCTTTGTTTACTCTCAGATGTGGAAAACCTGTGCCCTGCCAGTCACATGTGACCCATACATTTGACCATATTTTTGTGCTTTAGTAAGAAGCTCTGGTAGCGTAGTAGTTATGAATTGGGCTGTGAATCACAAGGTCAGCAGTTCGAAACTACCAGCCGCTCCGCAGGAGAAAGATGTGTTCTGCTCCTGTAAAGATTAACAGCCTTGGAAACCCACCCACTCCACACCAAACACCACCAACTCTTTCACTTAGTATGAATGGAAATGCATGCCCTTATTTTTATTATCACCCCTAGTGTGGCACTTCAGGTTAATGCACTGGATTGCAAAGTCATTTGAACTACAAGATCAGCGGTTCGAGCTCACCAGCCGCTCCTAGGAAACCCTATACAGGGTCACTATGGTTCAGAACTGACTCTACAGCACTTAACAACAAGAAGGCAATTTCAATTTGTACAGTGTGTTTCTACATAAAGCTTGCTTAGAGCTCAGTTTTACCCAGTCTGTAAAGATTGTTGTTGTTAAGTGCCATTGAGTCGGTTCCAACCCATAGCAACCCTGTTCTGAGGAACAGCTGGTGAGCTTGAACCGTAACCTTGAGGTTCAAATGGATGGCACATTCTTCTTCATATAATCCAGTTTTTTGTATTATTTCCTCAGCAAACAGATTGAGTAAGTAAGGTGAAAGGATACCACCTGGTGCACACCTTTCTTGATTTTAAACCATCCAGTATCCCCTTCTTCTGTTTGAATGGCTGCTTCTTAGTCCATGTACAGGTTCCTCATCAGCACAAGTAAGTGTTCTAGAGTACCATTTTTAACAATGTTATCCATAGTTTGTCAAGATCCACACAGTTTAGAGCCAAATGAGGTTACAAATTGGGCTGCGAACCGCAAGGTCAGCAGTTCGAAAGTACCAGCTGTCCCGCGGGAGAAAGATGAGGCTTTCTGCTCCTGTAAAGATTTACAGCCTCGGAAACCCTGTACAGGGACACTATGTGTCAGAACCAACTCCACGGCACATAACAACAACAATATTTATGGTATTCTCTGCTTTCAGCGAAGACCCATCTGATGTCAGCAATAATATCCCTAGTTCTATGATTTTCAGTAGTTCCCTTTTGATGCAGCCATTTAAAAATGATCTTCAGAAAAATTTTACTTGAATGTGATTTTAGTGATATTGTTCAATGATTTCCACATTGTTTTGGGTTGCCTCTCTTTGGAATGAACACAAATGTGGATCTCTTCCAATTGGTTGGCCATAGATGAGTGCTCCAGTGTTCCATAAATTTGTTGAAAGATTACAATTTGCATTCTCACGATTCCTGGAGCCTCGTTTTTTGCCAATACTTTCAGTGCATCTTGGATTTCTTTTGATTCTTGATCATATGGTACCTGTTGAAATGGTTGGACATCGACCAGTTTTTGGTTTAGTGATTCTGTATATTCCTTCCATCTTCTTTTGATGGTTTCTGCATCTTTCAGTATTTTGCCTATTGTTAACTTCCGTCGAGTCAGTCCTGACTCATGACGACCCTGTATAGGGTTTCTAAGGAGTGGCTGGTGAGTTTTAACTGCCAACCTTGCGGTCCAAACGGACATTTGAATTATCCTGCAATGCCACACCAGAATCTTTCAATATTGCAAGTCAAGGCTTAAATTTTTCCTTCAGTTCTTTCAGCTTGAGAAATGCTGGGTGTTTCCTTTTGGTGTTCTATCTCCGGGTCTTTGCACACTTCAGTAAACCTTTGACTAGCATCCAAGATCTAAACCATGGCGCTACCAGGTCTCCTAAGAATATATGGAAACACCTCCGATAATTGTTCCTAAATTCAGTCTTTCTGCGCTTCACCAAGGCTTTGTTAGGGTTATTTTTTTTACCAGGGGATCACTCTCTCCCGGTCCTGCCTCTCCAGCCCAGGAATAAAGTTGGCCATCGCGAGACTTTGATCTATCCTCCTAGCCCCCTGAATCTTGCAGCTGACCAGCAATTCCACTTCGGCTCTCCCCACACTGCCTTCTTTGGACTCACCTGCATTGCTCTATCTAGACCCGGTATTTGTCATTACGCCCCCTGGCTCCGCCCCTCCTTACGCGGCGTCGCTCTCGTTGAGCGTATGAATGCGCGGCGCTTTACGACTGTCGCATTTCATGTGTCAGCCGGCATGGAGGTAGAAGACTCAGAGAAGGAAGTGGCGGAGGAAGAGCCGCTGGAAGGGGGAGCTCAAGAATCAGAGCCGAAGGAGGAGCAGGAAGAGCTGGAAGAAGAGCAGGAGGAGCTCAGCAGTAAAAAACGGGTAGTGCCTGGAATTGTGTATTTGGGTCACATCCCGCCGCGCTTCCGGCCTTTGCATGTACGCAACCTGCTCAGCGCCTACGGTGAGGTCGGTCGTGTCTTTTTCCAGCCAGAGGGTAAGTGATGAGCCCCAGACGGGCGGGGAGGAGGCGAAATGGCCCCTAGTACGCATGCGCCTCCTGTTACTGCGACAGAGTCCTGGATGATAAATTTGTAGAGCGCATGTCTTTAGTTGCCTAGGGTATCGCGGGAGTATTAGATGTACTACGTCACGGATTGGTAGTACAAGGGTTCGAATTTGATCTCCGCCCACTCCATTTTCACGGCGTCCTTTTACTGGTTTTCAAAAATGGATAAATTCTTGAGTAAAAATCTTTTTAGTGGCTTTTTAATGAAACTGAACACACATAGGCTTGTTATCAGGGTCCAGACTAAGAATAAGCCACTTAACTTCCCAGGCACAATTTGGGATTGGGGACATGTTGCGTTTTTAAATTAGTGTTAATGGTAGGCTTGATTAAGGAGGTGACATGTGAGCAAAGGATTGTTACACTTGGGGAAGGGATGCACCTCAGAGTATGCCTCCTGGCAAGACGGTCAGGTGGGACCCTGATCCGTGGGTTTAGAGAACAGTTAGGCCCGTGGGAGGTGTGAACTGATTTTGTTGACCTCGGCTCTTTTCTTGGAGCACAGATGGGTTCGTGCGGCGTAAGAAAAAGAAGGCTGCAGCTGCGGCCACTGGAGAGAAAAAGCGGTCCAAATACAGCAAGGACTACACCGAGGGCTGGGTGGAGTTCCGGGACAAGCGTGTAGCCAAGCGCGTGGCGGCCAGTCTGCACAACACGCCCATGGGCGCCCGTAGGCGCAGTCCCTTTCGCTATGATCTATGGAACCTCAAGGTGAGCAGACAAGCTTGTAGCAGTATCCGTCATCTACTTGCCTCTCTGTCCCCAATTGTAGACACCCCCGTAGCCTCTTGTTGACCCTGCCTGCTTTCAGTTTCTCCAGCGCTGACCACCACTCTGATCTGTTTCTCTGCCCACAGTACCTGCATCGTTTCACCTGGTCCCACCTCAGTGAACACCTGGCCTTTGAGCGCCAGGTGCGCCGACAGCGCCTGAGGGCCGAGGTTGCCCAGGCCAAGCGTGAGACTGACTTCTATCTTCAAAGTGTGGAGCGGGGAAAGCGTTTCTTAGCTGCAGATGGGGATCCCGCCCGCCCCAATGGCTCCTGGACCTTTGCCCAGCGCCCCACCGAGCAGGAGTTGAGGGCCCGGAAGGCATCCCGGCCAGGTGGTCGTGAACGGGCTCGTCTAGCTAATGCCCAGGACCAAGCACGCTCCAACCGAGGGCTCCTTGCGAGGATCTTTGGAGCTCCACAGCCCTCAGAAGGCACAGAGGGACTCTCAGTGCCCAGGGACTCCTGAGGGACAGGGCCATCCCCTCTGACTTTGGCCACACCCTGCGTCTTTCCTACTTCATACTGGAGTGCTAATGACTACCTAGGCATGCATTTTATTGTGTTTCTCAGACCCAGAGTCTCTGGTAAGGGTCTAAACGTGAAAGTTGTGTGTAAATCTCCCTACTCTCCCACTCATTGCATGCCTGGCTATGGCACCTGGTTCAAGAGATAAAGTAAAAGTGAACGGATGGGACACAAGTAGATGGAAGCCGAACACTCCCCTAAACCCTGAAACATACTGAGTACATCTTTTTCTATACATATATTTGGGAGGTGACCCAGTTCCCATAACCTCGACCTGTTTACGTTTTCTAAATAAAAAGAATTGTCCTACAACCCTCACCTGTGGTTGATAACAAGGAAAGTATTGGAGTCCTGATGTGGCACTTTGGACTAATGTGCTGGACCATAAGGTTGCTTTGAACCTCATGGTCTGTGGTTCAAACTCATCAGCCCCTCCTGGGAAACGCTATACAGCGTCACTATGCGTTGGAACCTACTTAACAACTGCATTGCTTGGTGGTAGTAGCCATTTTCATTCTCATTGGGAGTATAGGCTTTTCCCTGGGTCCAGATGGAGTCCTGGTGTGGAGCCTAGGATACGCACTCAATCACACAAGGTCAGATTTCAAACTCACCAGTTGCTCCTTGAAAACCCATACAGGGTCATTATGAATTGGAACCAACTCATTGGCCCTTAACAGCAATTGGGCAGGCAACTGGAAATCAGTGAGACAAAACTGGCATCTGCAACACTCATAATTTTACTTACTCCATCTCTTAACCTCAGAGACTAGAATCCTTTTAAACTTGATTTTTGTGTGTTACTGACAAATTGATTACCACTCATTGTGACCCCATGTGTACAGAACTCCATAGGGTTTTCATGGCTGTGAGTTTTAGATTCAGAAACAGATTGCTAGATCCATTTCCGAGGCATCTTTAAGTGAATTTGAACTGCCGAATTTCTACCAATAGTCAAGTACGTAACTGTTTTTGTCACCTAGGGAATCCCAAACCCATGTGACTCACTGTCTCAGAGCTCCTATTCACTGAAAGAGGGTCAGTGGAACTGCAGAAAGTCCCCATCATTCTAGAGTTTTCAGCAATTACTCACCTAGCAGGTAATGGCCCTGGAAAGCCACAGTAGATGGTGATAGCATATGGAGCAGTATGCGGGTGGGCAGATAGGATCCAAAGGCATCAGCTTGGGTAGAGTGATTAGGTCCCAAGATTGTACATAAGCATAATGAGGTCATCTAGGCAAATGTGGATGCTGTGAGCCCAGGTTACAGGCATGGTGAAGTTCAGCCCTACCTGAAACAATTCTAGACCAGTGACAGACAGCAGTTAACCGCTTGTCCAAGAATATACACAGTAATAGCTCATTCTCTAGCTGCCCTTTTGATCTGAAATGGCTGATTATTGTAAGGTGTGAGTACTTCCTTACTGTCATTGCTCTTTATAGACCTTTCTATTGTTTGGTTGAAAATGAAGCCATGAGTGAGTACAAGTTCATTTCCAAACCTGAAGGATAACTGAGGGCGGTAGTCTTGGGTGTTTGACCAGTCTCTATTCAGCCAGTAAGCCTGGCCATTTTTATGATTTTAAGTTTTGTTCCACACTATCCCACTCTATCCAGGACCTTTTTAATGTGATCCTTTTCAGAGCAGTTGGTAGTAGTAGTTAGGCATCATCTAGTTAACCATCGAAGAATGTTTCTTTTAGTGTGAAATCATTTTATTGATGTGGTCTCATACAATATTTGTCCTTTTGTGATTGACTACTTTCACTCAGCATGTCCTCCAGGTTCATCCATGTTTTGAGGTATTTCACATATCCAGATCCAGCACTATTTTTTAATGGGTAGTATTCCATTGTGTATGTGTGTGTACTAAAGTTTGTTTATCCATTCTTACTTTGATGGGCATTTAGGTTGTTTCCTGATTTTTGTCATTGCAAATAGTGCTGCAAAATACATGGGTATCTATATAGCTATTTGAGTCACGGCCCTTTTTTTTTTTTTTTTTTTTGCTAGGCAATAGTGGTAGCACAGTGGTTATGAGTCGAGCTGCTAACCTCAAAGTCAGCAGTTTGAAACTACCAGCCATCCTGCAGGAGAAAGATGAGACTTTCTGCTCCCATAAAGATTACAGCCTTGGAAACCCTATGCAGGGTTGCTATGAGTCGGAACTGACTCCATGGCACACCATCACCACCACCACCACAACCATAGTCCTGGTGTGGAGCTGCAGAATAATGCACTGGACTGCAAGGTCGCTTAAACTACAATGTCAGTAGTTCAAACACAGCAGTTGTTCCTCGGAAACCCTATACAGGGTCACTATGAGTTGAAACCAACTTGATGGCAATTAACAACAACAATATACCAATTAGAGGAATTGCTAAGTTATACGGTATTTGTATTTCCAACTCTTTGAGGAAATGCCATATTGTTTCCCCCAGTGGTTGTACCACTTTACAGTCCCACCAGAAGTGTATGAAAATTCCAGTCTCTCCACATCCTTGCCAGCATTTGTTGTTTTGTGTTTCTGAACTTTGATATTAATGCTAGAGTTAAGTGTTATCTCATTGTTTTGATTTACATTTCTATAGTGACTAATGATTATGAGCATTTTGTCATTGTTGGCTTCTTGAATGTCTTCTTTGGTGAAGTACCTGTTCATGTCCTCTGTCCATTATTTATCATTTTCTTTTTGAGTTGTTGAAGTTTTCTATAAATTTTAGAGATTAGTCCCTTGTCAGATATGTCCTTGCCCCAACTTTTTCAGTCTGTGGGTTCTTTTTACTCTTTTGGTGAAACCTTTTGATGCACATGTGTCTAATTTTTAGCAGGTCCCAATCAACTAGCTAGTCTTGCACTGTTTGTGTGTTTTCCACCATATTTGATGGTGTATTTATACCATGTATAAGAACCTCAAAGTTTAGCCTTATTTTTTCATTGGTTCTCTTTATACTTCTAAGCTTTACATTTAGGTCTTTGATTCATTGTGAGTTTGTTTTTGTATATAATGTGAGATACGGGTTTTGCTTCATTCTTCTGCAAATGGATGTCCAGTTTTGCTAACACCATTTGTCAGAAACTATCTTTTTCTCATTCAGTGTCAAAGATCAGCTGATCATAGGTGAATGGATTTACTACTGGGTTCTAAATTCTGTTCCAAAGATGTATGTGTCTTTTGTCGTACCAATGCCAGGTTGTTTTGACTACCGAGGCTGTATTTGAGATCTGGAAACGAGAGGTCTCCTACTTTGTTCTTCTTTAGTAATACTTTGTATGTCTAGGGTCTCCTTCCTTTCCATACAAAGTTGGTAATTAATTTTTCCTATCTCTTTAAAGAATGATGTTGGAATCTGGACTGGGATTGTATTATATCTATAGATGGCTTTGGGTAGTATTGACATTTTTACAATATTAAATCTACTTATCCATGAGAATTGTATATTCTTCCAGATATGTAGGTATCTTTTGGTTTCTTGAGTAGCATCTTTCTTTCTGTAACCAGCGCTGTTGGTCATTGAACCTTTTTACTGATAGTGTTCCAATACTGGCGCCTGCTTTTTTTTTTATTGCATTAACTTGATATAGTTTTTCCATCCTTTAATTGTGAGTCTATTTTTATGTTTGTGTGTATGTGTGTCTCATGTAGACAACATATTGGTGAGTTTCATTTTCTTATTCCTTCTGCTATTCCCTGCTCCTTGATTGGCACATTTAATCTATTTCATTCAGTATAATTACTGGTATATATGAATTTATTGCTGTCATTTTGCTGTGTTTTTTGTTTGTTGCTGCTGGTTTCTTTGGTCTACATAGTTTTCTGTGCTACATTCATTTTATTTGTGGATTATTGCTTTTTTGAAAAAATAATCTTTGCTGCTGTTGTTTTTTTGTTTACTAAAGCTATATGATTTCCCACTGTTTTTTGGGCAAAGTTTATTCATTTTCATTGAAATTACCTGGTAATCTATTAATTTATTCCTCAATTTAAAACAGTCTGTTTTATCTTGAAATCTACTTGACTTCCTCTCTATCTGGACATTCTGTAAATACACTACTTTCTCCTTTTATTTTGTAAATTGCCTTTGCTTACACATTGACATCTCTGATTACCAATTTTCAGTTTTGTCAGCTTCTTTTCCTTTGGATACTTTTGTATCTTAATTGACTTCTGGGTGATGTCATGCATGTTCGTATTTCCCATTAGGTTGGTCTGGCTTTTACAAATTATTTTAATTTCTGTTTATCTGAAAATGTCTTAATTTTGCTGTGTAGTTGAGTGATAATTTTGCTGCATATATAATTCTTGGTTGGAAAGTTTTTTCTTTCAGAGTTTTATACATATCATCCCATTTGCTTTGTTGCTTGCATGGTTTCTGCTGAAAAATCAGAGCTTAGTCTTACTGGTTCTCCTTTTACAGGTAACTTTTTGTTTTTCTTGAGCTGCTCTCAGGATTCTTTCCTTGTCTTTGGTTTTGGACAGTTTCATTATGATGTGTCTTGATGGTTTTCTTTGGGAGCTGGTCTATACTGCTTGGGGTTCATTCAACTTCTTGAATGTTTATCTTCTCATCTTTTATGATATCAGGGAATTTTCCCCCCTAAACCTCTTCAACAATGTTCTCTGTGCTATTTTTGGTCTCTTTCTGTTCTAAAATTTTGATCACATGTTAGTTATTCCTCTTAATAGTGTTCCACATAATTCCTAGGCTTTCTTCACTCCATCCCCTGCCAACTTTTTCCTGATTGTTCCTCTAGCTGCTTAGTACTGAGAAATTTGTTTTCAAACTCCCTAATGTTCTCTCTCTTTGATTCAGTTCTCCTCCTTTGAACTTATCTGTTTCTGAAATCTTAGTATTAAACTTCTGGATTTATAATTGCTGTTCTTGTATGGTCTCAAATTTTTCATTTATTTTGTCTGTTTGCTCTTGTAGTGTTTTCCT